AACGTCGAAAAAACGAAAAAATATTCGAGAGGGTGTTTTCTGTATGTATGGGGGCGACACGATTTTATTCACCAAATTGAAGCTTAATAATTCCTATGCTTTTCTTTCGAAAGTTCCTGACATTTTTCAAAGAGATTTAAGCCTGTACACACTAGGCGTTTTTCAACGCGCGTTAGCTCGGCATTCGACGAGCGTTAGTTCGGCGTTAGCACTGGCTCAGTTTGAAAATGGACGTGAAAGTAATTGATTGTGTGTGCCTCCGCCATCGTCGCTATAAGGCAGCACATATATCTTAAAGCGTCCGTAAAGTGCCCGCAACCGTGGTTTAGAGCCTGTACACACTAGGCGTTTTTCAACGCGCGTTTTAAAGAACCAAGAGTTCTATGTAGCCGTACACACTCAAACGCGCGCTTTTGGCCAAGCGCGCGTTTATAGATTTTTGTTAAAACGCGCGTTTTGCGGGCGTTAGCCGAGCACTTTGAGATATATGTGCTGCCATGTAATCGNTTAAGAATACTTAGATATTTTATTCGTTATATCTTACAATAATTAAACAAATAACATTATACTAGTCACTAGTCTATTCAATGCAGTACGAATTTGGCGTTAGCCGTGGCCCTAGGCATCGGAATTTTGAAGCGGATGCTGCGATAATACGTAACGGTTTCATTGGGCGATACTACGTTGAAGGGGGCGACGATTCGTTAGAGGTTGAGAAACACTGCTTTAATGTATTGAAAAAAAAGAACTTTACAACTGATTAAGAGAACAACTGAAATTTAATGCATATTTTATAATTATTATTGCTTTTATAAATTTATATATTTTCATACAATAATGCTAGTTGCTTCATATACTAACCATATTTTGTGTGCTAATTTAACATTAGTTTTTCGCATTTCTTTATCAATTTCTTCATATAAACCTTTAAGGTAAAGAAAACTAATATGCTTTATATTAGGAACTTTTTTAATTTTTGAAATTTTTTATCATTTATTTTCTTTGTTTATTACTTTATCGTTACAGAAAATTATTTTCTTTTTCTAGTTGATGTTTTTTTTTTGTTTTTTTATATAGGGAACAAGATTGCCTTAATTATTCAAAAAAGAAAACTTCAACTGAAATTTAATGCACATTTTATAATTGTTATTGCTTTTATAAATTTATATACAGTAGAACCTCCATTATCCGGACCTCCATTATCCGGATTTTTGATTATCCGGATTGTTCATAATAAACAAAAATTTTACGAAATTGCTGATTTGCACTTGGCCAATTACGACACTGTTTATGTACGTGATGGAATGCATAACTTTTTTTGTTTCAATAACGTCTCACCCAGCACAGTGATCGTAAACTCTTAAATATATTTTACGTCGTAATAAAAATATAAGTTGACATACGTATTTATAAATAATTTATATTCAAATTACATCATTTCTATGACCAAGGGCGGCGTAAGGCATGGACGACGTGG